CGGTGTGGTTCATGTTGCATTAGCTTGGAGCTCACTGCAGTGGTGGCCAGGGTTGCATTAGCCCAGAAGCCAGTGTATGTATCCATCTGCTCTGGTTGTTCCTGTGTTCCTTTAGAGATTAGTGCCAAACCTTCCAATAAAATCTTGTTGGAGAGCTGGACACCAGTGACTCAGGCCTGTAATCCTAGTTATTCAGGAGGCTGTAATCTAAGGATTGTAGCCCAGGTAAGAAGGTCTGTGAGACTCCAATTAATGTCCAGTTAATCACCAAAAAGCCAGAAGTGAAGCTGTGGCTCAAGTAGTAGAATGCTAGCCTTGAGCAAAAATGCTCAGGGCAGTACCCTGAACTCAACCTCCTCCAGGATTAGGACCACAACCCCCCCCCCCCCCCCCAAAAAAAAAAAAACCCACAAAAACTGTAGAATCTTGTGTTCTCTTTCATCTTAGCTTCCTGCAGCCCACAATTTCACCTTGCTGGATGTATGGACTAGCAAAACTCAGAGGTTGCTTTAGTATAATTTTAGTATGCCAGCTTTAGTCATAAAGCAGAGAATTTTAAAATGCAAAATTAAACAGTTACACATTTCACCTGCTGTCAGCACAGCTGAGAAAAAAAGGTGCTGTCATCTAGCCCTCCCCTAGAGGACCCTGAAAGCGCCTTCTCGGTTGGTCATAATATGCACACTCTAGCTCCATGAGTTTGGAATCGTGGGACTCCTTGAGGTTGCTCTGGGGCCTGGAATCAGAGAGGCAGACCCAAAGCGTGATGGTGTGGGTTGGAATTACCTAATTCTGCCACTTACTGTGTGACAGCAAACAACACCCAGTTTCCTCTGTAGAGACCATACAGTACCTACAGCAGGTAGTAATACAGAATAAATGAGAGCCAGGCGTGATGTCACATGCCTATAGTCCCATCTTCTCTGGAGGCATAGATTCAAGGCCAGCCCAAGCAAAAAGTTCAACAAAACCCTTCTTAAACAATAGTTGGGTATGATGGTGTATGCCTATCATACAAGTTGTGATGGTAAGCATAAATAGGATCACTGCCCTGACACCAAGTTAGACTATTCAAAAAACAAGCTTGGCTTGGCTTAAGTAGTTCAATGCCAGCCTGGAAGATGCTGGGCACTGAATCCAAATCTCAGTAAGGAGTCAGGGGAGGGAGGGAAAAAGGGGAGAGAGAGGGAGGAGACAAGCAACCCAGAGTGCTTAGAATAGTGAGTGACATGTAGTGAGCCCGTCATTGTTCTCTGAGGTTACTGTTGGTGGGATGCTGGAGTGAAGGAACTTGGTTGGGTGAAGGGCTTAGCATGATCTTAGCCCAGAGGAAGCAGTGAGTTCTGAGTGAGCTCAGCGCCCACTTAGCCAGCGATGACAGTGCAAGGACCCTTCCCATGTGGAGGTGTGACAGTCACACGTGGAGAATGAAAATCTCTCAGGTTGATTGAAAGCAGTGGGGAAGGAGCAGAGGTCCTTTACCTAGTGGGTGGGCTTCTTGGTTGGTGCTGTGAACTTTCAGGTGGAAGGGAGGAGGGAACTGACTCTTGGGAAGTGTTAGTGATTGGACAGTGGATCCAGTGAAACAAAGCCCTGTGACCTTTAGCTGGGGAAGAGAGAGAATATAGACTTTGTGCTGTCTGCATCAGGAAGTGGGAAAACTCAGATGAAGGAAATCAACAACTGGTGAATAAGCAGGTAATTGATTCAAGTTCCCTGAGATGTGGCACACTAGTTGAATGGCTAGTGCTTGCAGGGCTGTACATTGGTATAGTGTCCAGGCTGCAGCCTCTAAGCCATGCTGGGCACTGTAGTCAGTAGGAGGACCTTCAAACAGAACTCAAAGCAGAACCTCTGGAAGGAGCAGCCACCCCTGTTCCCTGGCTGATGCCTTCCTCTGCTTCCCTGCCTCAGCTCTGGCTGCTTCTTACTTCCTCTGCTCCAGACACTTTGTTCTTTGTGTACACATTCAGGTGTGTAAGTGACAGCAGATAGGTCAAGTCCACTGCTGGTCGTGGGAAGTGAGCCCACAGTAGAGTAACAAGTGGGAGAGAGGCAGTCCCAGGGAAGGTACACAGAATTATACAGATGGGAGCAAAGGCAAGGCAGAAGGAAGGCCATCTACATTCTTTTTTTTTTTTTTTTTGGGTCCGGTCGTGGGGCCTGAACTCAGGGCCTGGGCGCTGTCCCTCAGCTCTTCAGCTCAAGGCTAGCACTCTACCACTTGAGCCACAGCGCCACTTCTGGCTTTTTTCTTTTTGCTTATGTGGTACTGAGGAATCGAACCCAGGGCCTCTGGCATGCAAGGCAAGCACTCTACCACTGAGCCACCTTCCCAGACCCGCCATCTACATTCTTGTTTCTAAGGATGTCCCAGGTTGTTTGCAGCCTGACCCAGATTCTAGCACCTTGGCAGGTAGGAGGGGAGATCCTGGCCCCGCCCATGTCTGCTTACTTAAGTGGGCAGCTATGAGTTCACTTTAGTGAGCCCACTTTGAAGGTCATGTGTTGAGGCTAGGAGTGGTAGTGTAAGCCTATAATCCTAGCACTTGGAGGATGAGGCATTAGGCTCAAGAGGTCAAGGCCATCCTTGGTTATATAGTAAGACTGTCTCAACTAAACAAAACAGAGCAACCAAACCAGTTAAGCAGAGTCCTTAGAGGTTTTGTTGTTCTTTGGCAGCTCTTACATGCATATGCATGTCCAAGGTGTACTTGAACCAGTACTGCCTCTTCTAAGCTCTGCTTCAGTCCTTTCTGTTCACAGGTGTTTGGCAAATGCTAGTGCACATGGTCTCCTGTCTTGTCCTCTCAGCCCACATTGCCCCTGGGGGAATTACTTTTCCTGCTGACATTTCCATGGACGTCTGAAGTTGTAGGGCAGAGCTGGTCAGATTGTACATTCATACCATGAGCTACTTACAGTGTATATTCATACCATGAGTACTTGCTAAGACTCAGCTTCCTCTTCTGCATGTGGGTATGGAGTGCAACACTGTCTGTTGGTTTACCAAGGGCAGCCTGCACCTGGGCTTGTCACTGGAGTGCTGTGGCTATACCACAAGCATCTGGCTAGAGAAGCAGTACAGTGCCTCTGCCAGGGTGGTGCCTCTAGGGATGGCAGAGGGTGCCAAGGCTGGCCCAGGGTCACAGATGGGAAAAGGGAAGACAACTGACTTCTCAGTGGCTGTGCTTCTTGGACTTAGAACGACTCATATTGCTTAGTTATCAGTGTCATGCTATCATCATTTATGTACTCTAGGCTAAAGCTACCAATTGCATAGCTTTCCCCTCTTTGGAATAAAGCTTATTCAAATTTCCAAAAACCCAACTTATAGATTAAAAGTGTAAAAATGGAGACTCTCTTTTTTTAAAATTTTATTTTATTGTAAAGATGCTGTACAGAGGGGTTACAGTTACATGAGTAAAGCAATGAGTACATTACTTGTCTATCATTGTTATCCCTTCCCTCTCCCCTCCACCCTTATTTAGAAGTAAGAAATGCCTATACTGAATTTATCTTTTCTTGAGCTATTAGAAGGTAGCAGATTCCATTTTCCAGGGCAGTTTGAAGCTCCTCTATTTTGGAAGGTGTTTTAGGGATTTTGTTGAGACAAAAGATTTAACTTAACAGCTAATGAATTGTGCTTCTGAAGGTGACTTGGCCCTGCTCACAAGGTGGCCCAGCTGCTGAAGTCCCCAGCACACCAGCATGCCACCATGCCAGGGTGTTTCTGTATAGCTTTGGAGTTGATTTCTCTTTAAGCAAATAACTGATGATACTTTAAAAATGGAAATGCTGGCAGGCTGCAAAGTTGAATAATTTTTTTTTCTTGGCACATAACATTATTGAGAACTACAAGGCTTCATTGTGAGAAAAAGGAATCTTTTCGGCTTGGAGTTTGCTTTCTGCCTATGTTGACTCCTTTGCTGGTCCTTGTTTACCTTTGTCATGAGGTCAGAGCACTCACACTGTAAAACCCATCGTGTCTGCAGTGTGCTATAGGCTGTCGCTCAGAGCTCTCACTCTATTCTTGGCTGTGTGACAGTGGATGGACACTGCATTTCCCATTGATTTCAAAGTTATTCTTAAAGTAGCAGCCATGCTCCCTCTGACTTACAGTAGTAATTCCTATCTAGTAGCAATCTTATTTCTTAAAAATGATAAGTTCCAGCCTAAACTTGGACAGGTAACTGTATAAAACTCTTGTTTTCTGTGGATGCTAGGGTGTTAGGGTGACTTTGCTGTACACAGTGGTCAGTTGCTGTATCCTGGAAGTTTATGCTCATAGTAAGGGCTACAGGGGGCTGTTCTTGATGAAGCATTTTGCCCTGCTCAGGTCTACCTTGAACTTTCACTTGGCTTTTTTTTTTTGCTCATGACTGGTGCTCTGCCATTTGAACCACACCACCACTTCCAGCTTTTTGCTGATTAATTGTAGATAAGGGTCTCTTGGATTTGTCTTCCCAGGCTGGCTTTGAATCTCGATTTTCAGATCTCAGCCTTCTGAGTAGCTAGAAATACAAGCATGAGCCACTGGTACCCAGATCAGCTCAGCCTTTACAGGATATACCCAAAGTAGTTTTTTTGTTTGTTTTAATGGGGAGTGTTGTTTTTTATTTTTTTTTTATTTTATTTTTTTTTTTAACTTTTTTTATTTTTTAAATGTTCAGATATGCTGCCTTTAGCCTTTGATTTAAAAGCAAACTTAGGATTCATTTTTGCTGCCAGATTCTGTTAGAATTGTTAGTACTGTGGTGCTAGGGATTCACGCATTTTAAAAATGGTGCTAGGTGGCTGGAATGTAATAGTCAACATAGATTGGCTTGAAAGTCACAGTGGTTTCCTTGGGTACTCACAAACAAGCATCTGTAGAACTACCTGAATGTTTGATGTCGGGGTTTGGTCCAGTTGCCTGCTTCAGGTTTCAGTTACAAACTTGCTTATTGAACTACTACTAGATGCTCTTTTGGCATGATCCTCTGTTTCTTGATTTACAGAATGCTACTGAGCCTGCAGTAGCCACCGAGACCCTGGCTGAGGTACCTGAGCATGTGCTGCGAGGACTTCCAGAGGAAGTAAGGCTTTTGCCCTCTGCTGTGGACAAAGCCCGGATTGGTGAGTACGCAGTCACAGAGAGACAGGCAGTGAAAAGCAGGCAGCTCAGCTTCCTGTGAGAGCATGTGCAGTAGGCATTCTGCCTGTAGATGTGTCCTTGACTTACACTGTGTGGTGCTGATGTGTTTTCCCCTTACATATCCAGGATGTCTATAGAAGATGAAAGTAGGAATATATCACCACCCATCCCCACCCTTGGCAAATTCACCCTTCTCATCTCTGTGGCCTCTTCCCACAGACTGTGTCTCAGTATGGTTATGTTATTATGTTGATTTCATGATTTTGTAGTTGTCTTTACATCTGCCCCTGTCATTTGTTGATTTCTTATTTATGTCTCCAGTACCAGGCTCTTTGTAGACCCTCAATAGGTATTTGAGTGAGTGATGTGACCACTGTATTCAGATGCCTCTGTATGGGATTACATGTTGAATACATTCAAGCTTGTATCACTCACATTTTGTAGCCTTGTTATTGGATAGAAAGTTAAGGGAATAGAATATAAAAATAAAAATTTAGTCCTGAAAGATACCATGCTTATATTTTGTTTCTTTTTTGTTTTTTAGATATATTTCTGTATATGAATGTTTTTAATTAGTGTGTTTTCTAATTTTCATTCAAAGTTTAGTCAGTGAGTAATTGGAGTATTTATAGTATTCAAATAAAAATGATTTTTAGCCAGACTCTGGTGGCTCATACCTATAATCCTAGTTACTCAAGAGTCTGAGCTCTGAGAATCTCAGGAGACAGCTAGGATATACAAATTCTTGACTTTCCAAATATCCAGCAAAAAGCCAGAAGTGGAAGAGTGATTCAAGTGGTAGAGTGCTAGCTATGAGTGAAAAAGCCAATCAAGAGTATGAGGCCTTAAGTTCAAACCTCAAAACTGGCACTCTCCAACAAAATTTTAAAAAGTTGAATATGTATCTCAACTGATTGATTACCGGTAGTATTATAAAATTTAGTTCAAAGCAGACGTAGAGAAAAGTGAAGCTCTTATATTCTAGCCTTGCCTCCACTTTTCTGGTGACTTCTTCTGCATGTGAGTTTGCTCCCTGGCCAGCACATAGGAGATGGGCATGTATTCTTGCTGTTAGAAACTGAAGACAAGTTCTTCTGGCTGCCACATTGTCAGGAGCCCTCTACAAAAACATCTCACATTTAATGAAGATGACTTGAAATTCGTAGATAGACAGATTTACCATAATCTGATATTTTTCTTGTGATCATGTTGTTCTTCTGGCAGAAGAACAATATATTAATTTGATATGTACAAATCATAAAACTCTTATCTAGTTATAGAACAATGAAGATTACAGAAGTTATCTGTTTAGAATCAGATGAAATCAAAAGCCCCTTAAGGATTTAATTTAATATGATTTAACTTGGTCATAATTAAACATTGCTTTGTTTTGGTTTTGGTTTTCAGACACTCTAGCCTTTTAACTGTTTTATGAAACTGGATTCACTTTAATGCTTTCAGTAAACTATAGTGAACTATAAACTATAGTAAACTATAAAAATACTGGTTTCATTTCTTAGGTGTCTGGGCCACTAAACCGATTTTAAAAGGGAAAAAGTTTGGGCCATTCGTTGGTGAAAAGAAGAAGAGATCTCAGGTGAAGAACAATGTGTACATGTGGGAGGTAAGGCGCGAACTCCAGCTCTGCTTACGAGAGGTCTGTACATTGTAGAGACACATAACTGTCCTGTTTTCTTGGGATGTGATAGTTTAAAGTAAAAATAATGATCAAATGTGTTTTTTGGATACAGACTATTTATATATGTTGTTTATTTTTGAAGTAGCTCTGCTTTCCTCAACAGTAAATGTCAAATCTATTTTTTGTTTTGCTTTGCACTTCAGTCCTGGACTTCCTGTGTTTTGGGTTGTCCCTTTATAGATGACACTAGATACATACCATAAATGACACTGCAGTATGGCTGCAGAGGAGTCACTGTTTCAGAACATCACTTCTGTGTCACATTATAGAGCTTTTAATTTTGCACAAGCTTTTCTTTCTCTTCTGTGTTCTCCCAACAGCCCAGGAAGGCAGAGCAAGGCAATAGCCTTTAGAGGAGAAAAGCCAGGAAACAGGCACAGCCAGATCCTTGTCTTCTGTCTCACACTGGCAATTATAGATGTTTGCACCTTTGCCTGGGTTGAGGTCCTGCTTCTAGCTTTGTGACTTTGAGCAGGCTATGTAGTCTCAGGGCTGTAAGTTCTTGAATTGAAAAAAAAATGGTGACACTAGGACACATTTCACTAGAAAAGTTGTGAAGTAAAAAATGTTCCCAGGGTACTGAATGGAATCCTGCACTCATGTAGAATGGAGTTCAGGTCACTGCCTTGGGGGGGAGGGGGGGAAGCTCTGCAGTCCCAGAGGGCCTCCACAGTGTGAGTCCTTTAAAAACAAGTTCAATTGTGAGATGATAAGCTCTCACATCTGTTTCTCACATGTGGGCCTATAAAAGCCTGGAAGAAAAATATGGCTAGGAAGTGTGTAGAGACTTGGCTTAGGAAGCTGGGGCGTTGAGAGGTTGGAGGCAGGGCTGTTTCCTCAAGGCTATAGCAGGGTTCTTGGGTTGATCTCATTGTTGCTCCCAGCCCTTTGGAGTTGGAATGTTTCCTGTAATCACTTAGAACATACCTTCTGACAGAGGACCCAGAGGCCTTAGGAAACAGGACTTACACCACAGTCATTGCATTATGCTGTTTCACCACTTTGAGGCCACAGCTATGTAACTATAGAAAGACTGCCCAGGCAAGAAATGCTTTGAGTACTAAAGACCATGTCTGCATCATTAAAAGTGTCTCCACCATAAAATTATGCTCCAAAATAAAGTGCATTTTTGCTTTCAGATGTTTTCCAAAGGAAACTAGCAAACTTGCTGAACCATAGCCAGGATAATGTTAAGGAGCTGGAGCGTGCTGACTCAGCTTCTGTGTATACAGTGCTATTGAATTAAACAGAAGTTGATGGTACTACCTGTTGCCTATATTACCACATGTAACAATTTGAGGTTGCTGGGCATACCATATAAATGATTATCTCTGCCTGTGTAAGGGAAGTTTCACTTACACCGAAATCTGTACACAGTATTATCAGAGAGGAACTTGTTGAATATTTGTGATTTAGAATCTGTAAACTTGCGATCCCCCCTTCCCTTCCCCCATTGTTGAGACAGTTCAGTTTACACATTGCTGCAGTTGTAAGTCCTTGTGAGGGTGTGTGGTCAGGGTTAAGTGAAGGTGGGCAGGGAGGTAGGTGTGGCTCTCAGGCTCAGAGCTCCTTCTATATGCATATATTTGATATGGGACCTTTGATTTTAAAAGTGAGTGAAAGCCTTTTATTATAAGTTCGGTTAAAATGAAGGTAGATATTAGTGATGTGTATGGCTATACATATATCTATACATATTCATATGCAATGTGTAGGAAGTATAAATTAGAATGTATATATAGCTAATTAAAAACAAAATTGAAAATCAAAGTAAAAATTAGTATTTTCCCCTAAATTATTCTACTTTCACCAGAATACTACTCATTCACATAATTGGTTTGTCATTAGAACCTCATCCTTATCTGGACTTCCAGAAAAGCCCCCTATGCCCAGCATGTCTTTCGTGGCAGCATCTTTTTACCTCTGCTAGAACTTCTAATCTAAGACAAAGTGTTACATTGCTTTTCTTGAACTCATGATTAGCCAACTCTTCTGTAAATCAGCTAAGCGTTTATGGAAAACATTGTATTAAAGAGTAACAGGAGAAACAGTGGTATATACACGGAGTGAACACACAATTCAGGTGGGTTCTCAAAGGGGAAGAGCTGCTTTGATGGCTTGGTGGGACGCTGTCATGGAGTTGGGGTGTGGACTGTGAGTTACGCATGCTTCTCTTGACCACTCCTTGGTCAAGCAGTCTGCAAAATTTTCATCCACCTCTGATAAAAGCCATTCCAATTCACTTCTTTGGGGCTCAGATTGCTCCTAATGAAAAGAAGTTTTGAGTTGTTGGAATAAGAATTAGTTTAATCTTTTTAAAATAGACTTTTTAAAAAGCTATTTTAGTTTCCTAGATAGGACCTGAAGGTTTCTGTCATGATGTTTTGTGCTTTGTAATAAGATACCACGGATGGGGCAGTTTATAGTTCTCTTGGCCCACAGGGCTGCAGGCTGACAAGTCTGAGACCAAGAAGCAGCTTGGTAAAACAACACAGTACAAGGTGGAACAGGAGATTGAACACAGCACCTCAAGCCCTTTTGTTATTGGCATTAAGCCCTTCATCATGACCTAAATTCCTCCCATTAGCCCACATCTCCATGCTGTTCCATGGGGATTCAGTTTCCCCAATGCTGCATTTTGGGACCCACTGAAACCAGAGCGTTTCTCTCTGCCCCTGTTCATACCCACAGCCTTCCCTACCATCCACATTTTGTCCTCGACTAGGGCACTGCTGCCATGTGAAACCTGCACTGATGCATCACTATCGCCCAGAGTTCATAACTTATGTAGGGCACTTTCTTGGTGTTGTACCTTTTAGTAAGTATTTAACATTTGAAGGTAATATATGTTCATTACAAAATAATATGAGCAGTACAGAAAAATATAAACATGAAGCCAAAAGTCATCTCAACTAAGAAAGTTATTTATTCTTTAATCATTGGGAACTTGTGCAAACTACTCTCCAGAGTAGTTGTATTCCAGTCTTTCTGCGTAACTACCAAAACCATGTTTTTCTCCCTAGCTTTATGAATCTCAGTACTTTTAAGCTTTTTTTTTTTGGCCAGAACTGGGACTTGAACTCAGAGCCTGGGCACTGTGCCAGATCTTCTGTTGCTCAAAGCTAGCACTCTACCACTTGAGCCACAGCGCCACTTCTAGCTTTTTCATTTTATGTAGTACTGAGGAGTTGAACCCAGGGCTTCATGCATGTGAGGCAAGCCCTCTATCACTAAGCCACATTCCCAGCCCTAGTGCTTTTAACCTTTTTAAAGTTTTAAAACAATCTGTTCTTTTAACTGATAGTTCCCTGTTTCTCTTTGCATTTTATTTTTTTGTGCAACAAATTCAAAATTTAGTAAATGTTTTTCTTTAAACACATATTGAAAATTACAGCTTTATGCCATTTAGAGAAAGATTTGCAAATGTGCTCTCTATATAAGTGTATTCATTCACTTTGTAAATTGAAACCACAAACCCAACCTCCCATTCACTTTACACAAGGACACTGTCCTTGTCTATTGGCCAGAAATATCCTAGACCAGCCCCAGTTTGCAGTAGGCAGTCAGTTGTGACAAAAGTCACTCCCAGAAGTAAAGATACCTCCTTATACTGTTAACTCTTAGTTGTGGTAAGATGGGCCTTTATGCCCACCAATAATCGCTGTATTAAATTTTGAATTTAGGTTAGTTTGTATTGTATAACTATTTCAAAGTGACTATTAAACTAAATGAAAATTGGGTGGTATGAAAATCACAGTTAGATAAAGAGTGCTTGATCTCTGTTGAGTGACAGAGGCAGAGAAGGCCTTGATAGCTTGGGGATTAGGGATGGTTTTGGTTTGCTTTCAGTAATCTGGGCAGGTGTCTACCTAGATTCTCTAAAGGTTTAGCTACAAACATATAAAGCCTGGTGCCTGGTATAGGGGGACTCCTCTTTTGCTAGTTCTTTCCCAAGTGAGGAGTTTTAGTCAAGTGAGTTCACTTGTCAACAGTGCTTTATAGTAGTCCATGATCCAGGACCTTTGCTTTATTGAAAAGAATTTTATTATGGGTTGGAAAACAATCCCAATTGTCAGGAAAACCATCTTTGATTTTATGTAGTATTTCTCTTTGGAGTCAAGAGAGCTGAGTATTTCTTGCTCACCATGAAGGTCTGGAAATAGACTTTTTGCATGTTAGTTCTTGGGTTTGAGCTAAGGTGGGAGGCCTTCTGTCTTTGCTTGAAAGGAAGTGAGAGTAGTTGGCTTTCCACTATCTTTCTTCTACCCTGGCTGATGGGGACTGGCAGTTTTAAATTATAGTTACATTAAACAAAATCTTGTCACATCTTGAAAGAAAGTAGTATGTGTCAGTCAGCAGATTTCAAGTCCTTGGAAACCAAGGTTTGGCCAACTAAAAGGTGAATTCTAGCAGAACCTTTTATTCTAGTTCCTAATTACAAAGTCAAACTCAGTAAAACCAAGAAAGCTATGCTCCAGGGCTGGGAAGGTGGCTCAGTGTTAGAGTGCTTGCCTTGCATGCATGAGGCCCTGGGTTCAATTCCTCAGAACCATATAAGCAGAAAAAGTTGGAAGTGGTGCTATGGCTCAAGTGGTAGAGCACTAGCCTTGAACTGAAGAGCTGAGGGAGAGCACCTAGGCCCAGAGTTCAGGCCCCATGACTAGCAAAAAAAAAAAAAAGGAAAAAAAAAAGAAAGCTATGCTCCACTGTTTTTTTTTTTTTGTTGTTGTTGTTGTTTTTTCTTTTTTCTTTTGAAATCAGTGTATAGGATGATGTAAAGGAGAGCATAACTTAGCATTCAGCAAACCTTAGTTACTTGCTTTCTGAAAGTCTGGATTATTCTTCTCATCCTTCCCCCTTCTTTGTGGTATACATTCTCCTAAATCAGTGAAGGGCTGGGTGCTGGTGGCTTACACCTATAATCCTAGCTACTTAGATATGAAGATTGTAGTTCAAAGCCAGCTCAAGCAGGAAAGCCTTTGAGACTCTTATCTCCATGAAACTACTTAGAAAAAGCTGAAAGTGGCACTGTGGCTCAAGTGATAGAGCACAAAGAGGGTAAGGGATAGCACTCAGGCACAAAAAAACAAAAACAAACACAAAATAACCAAAAATCAGTGGACAGGGAGGATACTCAGAAAAAGAAAAGTGAAAATAGGAATTATAGGTGGGTTCTCTTAGCTCACGCCTTGTAATCTTAGCTACTTGGGAGGCTGAGATCTGAGAATTGTGGTTCAAAGCCAGCCTAAGTTGAAAAATATGTGGCTCTTGTCTCCAATTAATCAACAGAAAGCCAGAAGTGGCGCTGTGGTTCAAGGTGGTAGAGCTCTAGCCTTGAGCAAAAGAGTTCAGGGGCAGGCCCCAAATTCAAGCCCTGTGACTGACTGCCCCTTCTACCCCCGAAAAAAGAAGAAAATAGGAATTATAAATTGTCCTAGTTGGAGGGGAAAACTGTTATTGACATATTTATTTATTTGTTTTTTTTTATTTTTCTCTTCATATTTTCATACTTAATCCATTCTATCCTTAAATGGCTTTATTCAGTGACAAATCTGTTGTGAATATTTTTCAGTAAACTGACTTGCACAACATCTATTTAGTTTTTTTTTAAATATTAAAGTGCATTAATTTATAAATGTTACATGTATTTATTTTTATTCACTATAAAATAATGGGTTTCATGTGGCAATTTTATTCTCCTTTGATTATAGAAATAATGCATGTTAGTCAAAAAATATTGAGCAGCGTAGAAATACCTAACAAAACAAGTTTCTGTGTAATCCAGTTAATTATTTGTGCAACTTTTTAGTGTCTCGGTAGTCTGCTGTATGCATGGGCTGTATTGCACTGAACTAATTGCATACTGTATTTCATCTTTCTCTGAGTTGGGAGTGGTTAGTACGTGGCTATGAACATCTTTGTGCACACATCTGGGTATAGTTGTCCAATTATCTCAAATTCTTCCAAGTGTATTTTTGGATTAAACGTGTATATAGAACATTTTCTTTTGTTCAGGTATAGCTAAATTTTATCAAAATTCCCTAGGGGCTAGGCACTGTTGGCTCACACCTATAATCCTAATTACTTTGGAAGTTAAGATCTGAGGATTGGGGTTCAAAGCCAGCTCAGCCCAGGCAGAAAAGTCCATGAGACTCATCTCCAGTTAACCACCTAAAAATTGGAAGTGGAGCTGTGGCTCAAGATGATAGAGCATTAGCCTTGAGCTAAAAAGCTGAGGGATCAGTGCATAGGCCCTGAGTTCAAGCCCCTCTATTGACCTAAAAACAAAAAACAAAAAATCCTCAGGTTGGAAGCATGGCTTAGTTGGAGATCTAGCCAGTTAGTTGAAGGCAGCAGATACAGAGTTTGAGTCCTGGTCTTGCACCTTAAAAAAGAAGAAGAAGAAAAATCCTGCCAATGTGTTCTCTGATCATCAGTAATTGGGTAGAGTATCTGCTCTCATACATTACTTCCAAAGTATTTTTTCTTTTTCTTTCTTTCTTTCTTTTTTTTTTCTGATTGAATTTACATTGCTTTTTTTTCTTTTTCTTTTTATTAACATTATTATTATCTTTAAGTAGTTGTACAAAGAAGTTCCCATTCTACAAAACAGTATATGGTATTCATTTTCTTAAATACGTGTTTTCAGTTTAGTTTGTGAAAACTTTTGAAATTATTATTTTATTATTAAGTTTATTACTTTTTTTGTGCCAGTTCTGGACCTTGAGCAGTGTCTCTGAGCTTTTATGCTCAAATTGGTACTCTACCACTTGAGCCACAGCTCCACTCCTGGCTGTTTGGGTGTTTAATTGGAGATAAGTGTCTCACAGGCTTTCCTGCCTGGGGCTGGCTTTGAACTGCAATACTCACATCTCAGCCTCCTGAGTAGTTAGGATTATAGACATGAACCAGCAGCCCCTGGATAAGTTTACTCTTTTATGAGGTTTCAGGTATGTATTTATTTGTGAGTTATGTGCCTATTTTTAAAAAGTAAAATGTTTATTTTTTTCTATAAAAGTCAGGTGATTTCTTTTTCTTCTTTTTGCACACTAGTGTACTTAGAAGATCCCTTAGTCTCCTTTGGAGTACTGTGAGCTGTGCATAAAGAACTCAGTCAACCAGAACACTTCACTTTTTGCAAAGGTCTCTACTGACTAGTGAGCCAGGAAGTTCCAGCAGAGTCTGCATTGATGCTGAAGCATGTAGATAGTCTAGCTGCCTTCTTCATTTGTGCGTTTCTCTGGCAGCTGTCTCTGTGTGTGTTTCTGCTGTCCAACTGATCTCTGTCAGTGTGCCAGGGTGTTGGGTGGTGGGGTGGGGGAATGGGTGGGTGTGGCTAAAGTCCATGGGGGTATCTCTGAGCTTCTGTGACCAGCTAGTGCTCCATGACCATTCTCTGTTCTGTTTGCTAGCTTTACTATGCCGGCAAATAAGATAAAATTGCCCTGTAGACATTTAAACTAAAAGTGACGGAAAGTTTGTTGTTTGTGTTAAGTTTAACCTAGTTTTGCATTATAATACTATCTCTTTATGACCTACCATTTGGGGGGCTATTGTGTCTTCCATATGTGCATATCTTTCTGCATCTGTCCCTTTAGGAGCAGAGGGTGAGTGTGATAATGATGCTGAAAGGAGTCTTTAACAATCAGATAACCTCTTTTTAGAATGATGCTGATAGGTGTTTAGTAAATGGCCTATTTTTGAAAGTATTCATCTGAGGACTTAATGTTAAATAAATGAACTGCACAGCACTTCTGGCCTGTCCCTGTCATGTGCTCATTAGCTGGTAGCCACACTGTCTTATTAGAGGTATTAGAGGCAACGTAGAGGGGAGAAGTCAGAATGAGTATCCAGGAGCAGTCAGCAAGCAGGGTTACTAAGCAGTGCTGTGCACAGAGGGAGGCCAGCATGGGAAGCTGCTGTGGGATGGGTCGGTGGTGACTCCTAGAAGAGGAGTGCTCTCTGCCAGACACTGTAATGCACAGAGCAATGTTCCATTGCACCACAGGCCCCACAGGTGTACCTGGATGGGGTGTAGGCATTATCAGTGAGCTCCGTGTGTAAATGTGTACAGATGCTAGCTCATCAGGTGTGCTCAGTTCTTGTCCACCTTGCCAGAACTCTGTAGCCCAGCGGTCCAGCCATGCATGAACTGGCAGAACATTCCAGAAAACTCCGGTTTGGTTGCTGTTAAACACTGTTGCCATTTTCCTAAGTTCACCTGGGGGAATGGAGTTGTCCCTTGTCCTTACATGTATGGATAATGTAATTGCTAAAGCAGGACCCATCTAGAGATTAAGTGTATTGTCTACAGTACCTTTATGGTTAGAGGAAAAAATAAGCAATAGAAAAACAATGAGAATTACAGCTTTGGGTTTCACTTTTCACCTTGTGTTTTTCTTTATTGCTTGCTTGCTTTTGTTCCTCTGAAATGCTTTGTAGAGATACTTGTATTTAATGCAAATGAACTTGAAAGTGGAGCCCTGTTTTAATCCAGGCTCATTTCCCCATTGCCAAGGTATATTACCCGAACCTGGGGTGGATGTGCATCGATGCCACAGATCCAGAGAAGGGGAACTGGCTGCGCTATGTGAACTGGGCTTGCTCGGGACAAGAGCAGAATTTGTTTCCACTGGAGATCAACAGAGCAATCTACTATAAAACTTTGAAGGTAACAGCATTGGAATTGGCCACTGCCCATTAACAGTAGTGATTGTGAGACCAGGGAACGATCATGTCTGAGGTGGATCATGTGACCTGTGCTCTCAGGGTTCTGATTACATATATTTTGCTGCCACTTTGTGGGGTCAGGGCTTCAAAGTGTGAGGAAGGCTGTGTGGAGTAATTACATGCTGCTGATTCTCCACATGGCTGATGACCACTGCGTCCACTCCCATCTCCCTGCCATGCACAAGCAGCTGTATTGCCGTATTTTGTTCGGCAGAGACAGTCTGTCTTCAGTGCAAATGGAGCCATGTAATGGCTTTCCTTTCCTTTAAAACAGAGCATATTTCTTCCTTGGTCCAATTTTTTTATTTGAAGATATTAACTGTTGAGGTGGGAAGGAAGAGGACAGTCGTGTTCAGGCTGGGGGGAGGTGTCCACACATTGGGGACCTTACAGCCTGGAAGCCTTTTATGTTGCTGCCTTCCTTAGGCAAGCAAAATGCTCTTTCTTGCCCTCACTCTCCAGGTCTGCATACTATGCCGGAAATGTTCTCAGGCCAAATCTTGGGGCTGAGAAGCTAGATCATAGATGCTTTAAAAAAAATTAAATTTTAGCGGGCGCTGATGGATCAGGCCTATAATCCTAGCTACTCAGGAGGCTGAGATCTGAGGATTGTGGTTCAAAGCCAGCCCAGGCAGGAAAGTCTGTGAGACTCTTATCTCCAATAAACCACTAGAAAACCAGAAGTGGCATTGTGGATCAAGTGGTAGACCACTCGCCTTGAGCTGAAGAGTGCAGGGACAGTGCCCAAGCCCAGAATTCAAGCCCCATAACCGACAAAAAAAAAAAAAGTTAATTTTAGTTAATTATTTGTGCTGATACTGGGGTTAGAACTCAGGGCCTTGTGCTCTCACTTTTTCACTTAAGGCTGGTGCTTTGCCACCTGAGTCACACTTCCACTTCCTGGTTGTTGCTTTTATAGAGTGAAGACCTTTGCTAAAATCGCCATAATGGGGGCAATTTCTGTATTCACTTCTATTAAATATGTCAAAGTCTGGAGACAAGCCCATGAGAGGCAGTCTCTGTGGAGTGGAGGATTCTTGATGAGCAAGCACTGAAAATGGCAGCTGGTTTGGCAAGGGGCTAAGTTTTGTCAGTGTGGTAGCATTGGCCTTTGCAAGTTTAATTAGTACATGCTATTTGCTGTTTCTCTGCTGTGTTTTTCCTGCCATGGCCTGGTACTTCATACCAATGTAGGACTAAAGATAGACATACACAGCATGTTTGTGCTATTTTCTCACTGATGAGAACAACAAACCCTCTCTTCCCATTTCCTTTTGCTTCATGTGAGAGCATGCTTTTCTAGTAGGATTATTGTAGTTTTGAAACATTGGATTTGAAATTGAATTCAGAATGGGATGCAAGAATTCATTTTGTTTCTCAAATTTATTCAAAGTTGAGAGACTAACGTGGTTGAACCAGCATGGTGGAACCTCGGTAGTGCTGCAGTAGCCGCAATGGATGAAATGGGCCAGTCACTCATGAGAGGAGGGCACCAGTACAGCTTTCTCCTTAAGCATCAAGTTAACTTGCTTCACCCTGACAGCAGAATGCCCAGAAGCCAGATGTGATCTACAGGGTGGCCCTGAGCCTGCCCTGCCTCTGTGTGTGACCCATAGCAAATCCTTTGTCTGTGCCTCAGCTTCCTTGTGGGAAGACACAGGTAGTGGTAGTGTGAGCCAGAGTTGTGGTGAGCACATGGTGAATGTGGACAGAGCTAGGTGATGCCTGTCACTTGTGGTAAGGTATGACGTTGTGCTCAGCATTGGGGGGTTCTAGCCAAGTTCTTGATCTAGTTCTTAGTCTTCTCGTCCATGAAGATGAAGTAGTAGTGCAGATTGAGGGTTCCTTCTCCAAAATGTTTGGGACTAGAAGTGTATTGGATTCTGGATTGCTTTGGATTTTGTATCTACATATACATAATGTGGTATGGGTAATGTGGGATGGGACCCAATTCTATATACAAAGTTCATCTTATATAGGTAGACAGAGGCAGTTGGCACAGTATTTTTAGTATCCTCATTTTTTGATTGACCTGCCACATGAGGTTAGGTATGGAATTTCCCACATGTGCTGAATTTAAATTTGTAGCATTTCAGGTTTTGAATTTTGGAATTAGTCACACTTAATGTAAACATGAATTCTTATATTTGTTGTGAAGATTAACAAAGCCACTATGTAGCATATTAATGTAACTGTAAGTAGGATGCTACCCTACTGGCCGGAGTACTGTTACTTTTGCCTATCTTTGAAACAGCATGGTTCTGATTTCTGACCTATGGTATCTGCCTAAGTACACATGAGGCCTTTCAGGCCCCTCTCTGACAACATGAAGTATGTTCTTCTAGGCATTGTAAATGAATCATGTGTGCTGTTCTCTGGTCCCTGTATTCCACCCAAGTAACTGGTACCATCAGTATCACTTTTGTTTGTACTGCAGTTAACAACTATTTTGGGCCTATGGATATAGCTCAGTGCTAGAACACTTGCTACTTGTGTCTAGCACTGCAAAAATAAAAATAAAAACCCAAAACAAAGGAAGGAAGCTGTTTTAAAGTCTCCACAGTTAATAGTTAAGCCTCTGTCCACTTACTCATTCGTTCATTAATTTGACAAGTATTGATCATATGTCTGCTGTGTACCAGGTACTGTCTATAGTAGAGCAGGATACAGAAGGTCTCCAGTCTCATGGAACGTTTGTCCACTTTATGGGGAAGGAAGAAGATAATGATTAAATAAATTGATAAAATAATGCTAGACAACAGTATGTGCTTTAGACAGTGACTAGATAGAGGGAAGCCTGCTTTGGCTCCAGGGGGTCAGAGCAAATGTTTGTGAGAAGTGACATTTGTGAGAAGTGACATACCCTCATCGAAAGGAGCCAGCCCTGCAAAGAACTGGGGGAAAAGAGCAGTGCGGGAAGATGGGCCAGTAGGAGAAATAACTTGAAGTGGACAGATAGGGGACTTTGGTTTTGAAAGGTTGTTGTGGTTTTGTTTGTTTTGCTGAAAGAGTAGAGCAAGGCCAGTATAGCTTGAGGAAGGAGAGGAGTCCTAGGAGATGAGGGCTGCGAGGTAGATAGAGGCCGTATCAGGTGGGGCCTGATGACCCACAGGGAGAGGCAGGAATGTTAGTCTTCAACTCTGCACCCATTCCAGAGCAGAGGCTGAGTTCTGATTGTGACATAGAGACCAAGCTAGGGAATGGTTTGTGGAGGCAGAGGAGATGAGCTCTTTGTGCAGTGATTTCTCATTCTCATCCAGCCACAGAAATACAAAAACCTGGGTCTCGTTTCAGTTGTTCTGGTAAAATTCAAATTTAAATATTCTGATGATTTAGAGAAGGGAATGTGCTTGGTTTTTATAAAGCCTGTCACTCAAGAATAAAGTTGGAAGGTTTGGAAATCTTGTTGTCTTTATTTTTAATATGAAAATATAACACAGTCATGTACCACAAGCACAGGATCACAGTCTTAGTAAATGCCAGCAGCTAATGACTCCTTGTAGTTTTAGTTTGTGTGGGTGCATGGTATTGCTCCTGCAGCTCGGGATGGCCTAATGACACCTTTCTCTGAAAGTGTCTCCTCCCATGAGATGCATAACTATGTATGGTTTTTTGATTTTAGTTTTTAAAATATAGATTTATACTTACTTTAATGACACAGCTTTACTTCCAAAATTTGAGACACGAAATCTTGAAATGCAAGGAGTGAAAGATTTAAAATAGCATTGTACAGGAGGGGAAAACTGTTTGATTTTTTTTAAAAAATTGATTTAAAAATTAATTCCTCTATATAGATTGTTATCTCTGTAGCTGTTTTAATATAAAAGTTGGGAAATGTATTGTTCCATAGTCTAAATATCTTGGCCACCAACTATTTTGAAACTATTTATTAGCAAATTAAGTCAAGTTCCCCTAGCATTTCACCAGCCCATTGGTGTTTAAAATGTTTTATATATGTCATACAAACAGATTCATGTGGTTTCATGGTGTTTGTTTGGCAATAAGAATAACTTGGGTGGAGTAAGTGTCCTCCTACTTATAAAGCTTGGGCTAATTTTTTTTTTCTCTTTCTTTTGGTGCTGGGGATTGAACCTAGGGCCTTGAATAAACAAGGCAGGTGCTTTTCCACTGAGCTATATTCCCCAGCCCTGTGCTGATAGATCTCTCTGATGATGTCTGCAGAGGACTGGATACACAAACAGGAAGGTGGGAATAGGCATGCTCATTCTGGGAGGCTTCCTGCGGGTGCCAGTAGTGGCCTTGGTGTTGCAGTGATGAAGTTTGTGTGAGAAACATGTTAAAATACATCTGTCCTCAGTCCATTCTCTTTGACTTTAAGATTTTACATGTTTCCTAGAACCCTAGCCATTTCAAATACTATTTTATGTCATCATGTCATAAATGTCACTTATAGCCAAAAGGTAGAGGAATAAACTGTGTTTGGAATTTATAATCTAGAAACAATTTATTTCTAAAAAGTAATTTACTTTTGAGCCAGGTGCTGGTGGCTCACGCCTGTAATTGTACTCAGGAGCTGAGATCTGAGGATCGTGGTTTAAAGCCTGCCTGGGCAGGAAAAGTCTATGAGACTCTTATCTCCAATTAACCACCAGAAAACCAGAAGTAGTGCTGTGGCTCAAGTGGTAGAGCTCTCACCTTGAGCTGAAGTGCTGAGGGACATCACCTAGGCCCAGAGATCAAGCCCCATGACTGACCCCCCTAAAAAGAAAAGAAAACGAAAAAGAAAATGACAGGTTTTAGCCATTCTGGGGGAGTAAAGAAAACAGTAGCTCTTTTTTTATTTTAGTTTGAAGAATTGAGAGTATTTTGAAATGTGAACTACATACCAGGAGTTCTACATGTTACCCTCAAGTGCTTTATTTAAACAACAAGGCCCAGAACTAAAGAACTATATTGTCTTTAAATTGACATTTATTTTTTAGGTTTTTTAAAAATATAATTTTAAGTAGTTGTACAAAGGGCCTTCAATTCTACAAGTCTGATTATGAGCACAATGCATCTCATCAATGTGAACTGTCATTTTCCTATCCTTAACAAAAGCAGGATCAAGCTGAGCACCAGTGGCTCACACATGTAATCACTATTTAGAGATCTGAGGAGAATAGTTTGAAGCTAGCCTGGGCAGAAAAGCTCAGGTCGAGTCTCATGACTCTACCTCCAATTAACTATCAGAAAAAAATAAAGCTGGAAGTGGTGGTGTGGCTCAAGTGGTAAAGCACTAGCTTTGAGCAAAAGAGCTCAGGGACAGTTCCCAGTGGCTCACGCTTGTAATAATCCTAGCTACTTAGAAGGCTGAGATCTGAGGATCAGGGTTTGAAGCCAGCTTGGGCAGGAAAAGTCTGTGAGACTCTTATCTCCAATAAACCACTCAGAAAACTGGAAGTGCTGCAGTGGCTCAAATGGTAGAGTGCTAGCCTTGAGCTGAAGAGCTGAGGGACAGTGTTGAGGCCCAGAGTTCAAGCTCCATGACGGACAGTAAAAAAAAAAAAAAAAAAAGAAATCAGGGAGCCAGCACTGAAATTATACTCCACGGCAATCAGCGTAGTTTTCCTTACAGAAAAGAATGCTGTGGTATTTGGATATCATATGTTCTGTCTCTTTAGATTGGATGGTGCTTTCATCTTTGATAACCTTTCAGTTTTAAGGAGAACTGGCAATTAGTTTTTCATAGAATAAAAGTTATTCTTACGTGTCTCCTGATTAAACTGCATTTATGCCTTATGTGTAGAAATCTTACATGTAGAACTCTGCATCCTGTCAGGAGGGACACTCGGTGCTCTCATTACACAGATAGAATTTTCCCCCTTGTAATTAATGAAATTTAGTGGTGAGATATTTCTAGACTACACAATATTCTTGTTCCACTCCAGACTTCCACTTGCTAGTCTGAGCATCCATTGGTGAGTCTTGTCCCAATCAGTTTTCTGATGATGATTGCCAAGTAATGGATTTCGAATTCTCATTCCTTTTCATTGGTTCCTTGATATCTACTTGAAGGAAAGGCCTTTCTCTTTTATCACTTGTTCATTCATTTACCTTAGGGTCGGGGTGGACTCCTGGACTCCGGTTCTGCGGGTTTTAGATCGTCTCTTGCATCTTTTGGGAAAGAGGAGTCCCCGAGAGAAAGAAACCAGTAAGCCGGTCCCCTCATTTCTGTGCAGGGACCAGCCCAGCCTTTCTCTTCACAATCTCTTCTTCGGAGTCTCCCGGGGGTGGTCGCGTGATAGTGCCGATTCCCACCCCGCCAGCTGTAGGAGCATAGCAACTGGCTGGTATTCAGACATTTTCCTGAGGACCAAAAGTTGTGATGTGGGGTCCTGCAGTCTTGGCGCGGACTGACCGAAGCGGGCTGGCGGCCTCGCGAAGGGCTTCCCTGAACGCCCCTGGGTGTCCGTCACCGCGCCTCTTTTTGTGGCGGTGGCTTGAGAGCTGGGTCAGATCCTGTGGGGACGTGGAAGTACCTGGCACGCAGTCTAGAATAAGCGCTAGTACGCTGCTGGCTTGCGGCTCTGACTCGCTGCCGGGCCCACCCTGGGCCCAGGAGCCTCCCTGCGCGTGACCGCGAGCACCCCTCCCGCCCTGCGCGCCCACTAGGCCTTCCAGCTGGCCCCTCCTCCCTCCCCGCGCGCGCCCACGAGCCCTTCCTTCCAGCCAACATCTCCTGCGCGCGTCCGCGAGCCCCTCCTCCCATCCCGCGCGCGTCCGTGAGCCCTTCCTCCCAGCCGGCCCCTCCTGCGCGCGTCCGGCGGCGGCGCCCGCCCGACAGCTGTTTGCCACCGGCGCGCCGCTCCCGCTCGCCGCGGTGCCGCCCCGCCTCCGCCAACAACCGCCTCTCTGATTGGACCCGTGCTTGTCTCGTCTTTCTCCACAGCCAATCGCGCCGGGCGAGGAGCTCCTGGTCTGGTACAATGGGGAAGACAACCCCGAGATAGCAGCTGCGATTGAGGAAGAGCGAGCCAGCGCCCGGAGCAAGCGGAGCTCCCCGAAGAGCCGGAAAGGTAGGACCCTGGGCCGGCGCCCGCTGCGCCCGGCCCCGCGCCGACCCCTCCAGCCGCCGTCCGGGCGGCGGGCCTGGCGCGGCGCCCGCGGCGCCTTGGTGACCTTTTTGGTCCCCGCCCGGCCCGGCCGGCCCGGCCCGGCCCGCTGCTGAATCACCGCAGTGTCGGGCGCTCGGGCTTCGTGTGAACTTGTGTGGGAGCGCCCGCGCGGCAGAGAGCGCGCTGCGGCCTGCAGCCGGCCCAGTCGGGCCGGGCCCGACCCGGCCTGGGATCGTCTCGGGGTCGGCGTCGGCGTCGGCGTCGGGCGGCCGGCGCCCTCGGGCCCCGCTGACAGCTCGCCGCGGAGGACGCGGACCGGGATGGGCCGCAGCGAACCGAGACCGAGAACGGACCGAGGGAGACGGGGCCCCGGTGGTGGTGGTGGGGGGAGGTCCCGGACATAGGGCTGGGGCCCGGGGGCGTTTGGGCCCCGGCCACTGTCATTTTGACTTGGTCTTGGTGTTTTCTCATCTCTAATGGTCTTGAACAGGAGGCAGAGTGTAGTTGCACTTACAAAGGGAGGGCATAATTTGTGGGTAGGAAAATAGTTTGCTTGGCTGTATCATATTTCCAGCTGGCATGCTGATACGTCGTTGGAATTCTTTTTATATAGAATTTTAATACGGATTTGGGTATCTTTTATAGAGCCCCACTTGGAATATACCGAGGCGCTCGACATGATTGTTTTTTAGACTAGGTACGTTAGTTTTTTGTTGCCCTCCTAAGGTCATAAGTACATTTTTGTAATATCCAGAAAATTACCTAGTATACTGTGTCAGATTGTAAATAAAATCATAAAGGAAACAGTCTTGAAATTTGTGAAGCAGTATTTAAAGTGCACACAAGAAGTCCATTTTGATTTTTCAGTGACATGTTCTTTGTATCTCACAGAATGATGCAAGTAGAGATTCATCCAAGAAAGGATTGGTGGGCCTTGTGGTCACTAACTTCTGAGTTTATTGAAGTTCATACAGTTGCTGCGTTTGGTTATTCAACACTGATTCTGTATTGGGTGATCATAGTCTAGAAAATTCCAGGTCTTTTTATTTTAAAACTGTTCCAGCTGTATTTGGGGATTCGGTTGCTTTTTGCAAGCTCTTCATGTGACTTGTTCTTTTATTTAGACTGCGTTTTGTGTATAATACATGCTTGCAGCTTTTCCAGGTAAGTTGTGATTTGTAGTAGCTGAAGACTGGGGGCTTTTTGCTGTACCCACTGCACATTAACACAGCCATTTATTTAAGGGTGTTTGTAGCTCAGTAGACTCACATTAAGGCTTTTTCTCTGCTTGGCATACTTGGGTGTGCATGTTTAGATGCTGTTTCCTTCTTTTGTTCTTTTGCATTTATCCCTAGTTTATTATAGGTAGATGTGGAGAAAAACCTGAAAATGTTTATTAGTGATACATGAACTTATGCATTTATGCCTACATTGCTGGATTATTGGATTGAAATTTAATATTTCTTACTCACTTTTTTTTAGCCTACTCTGGGCAGTATACAACCCATTGAGTCATCGATTTTAATTAAGAGACCTGACTGAATCTCAGGCTCAGAACACACAGCCAGCCTGTTTGGGACACTTTACTGTCTGCTCTCTTGTGACCTAAAGTTTAGAGAGTTTAAAGTTATGAATTAAAATGCGTGTATGTGCATGTCCTCTGGGATTTGAACTTGGGGCCTGGGTACTGTCCCTGAGCTTTTGCTCAAGGCTAGCACCCTACCACTTGAGTCATAGCTCCACTTCCAGCTATTTTTGGTAATTTATTGGAGATAAAAGTCTCCCAGACTTTCCTGCCTGGGTTTGCTTTGAACTGTGATCCTCAAATCTCAGCCTCTTGAGTAGCAAGGATTACAGACACGAGCCACTGGTGCCGGGGATTTTTTTCCCCACCCAATTTTTAGATTGAATACTCTGAAAGCTGAAGTATGGCTTGCAAAGACCTGAAAGGGAAACTTTTTATATTAATTTGCTACTATCTAGGTCTTATGTGTGATCTCACACATTTAAATAATACCTTTTCTGGCAGTGATGTCAGAGAAAATCAACATAAATTTCCCTCAGAGGCGGGTTAACTTTCATTTTTCTGAAATCCACAGATGTTGAAGAAATAGAGCTGACAGCTTGGCATTGGGTCTACCCTCATGTTGGGGGTGGGGAGGGCGGGGAGAGGAAAAAAAAAAGGGCGGAATTTTTCATAATTCTGGATCTTGTCTCCTTTGCCTGACAGCAGTGGTGTCTACAGCTGTGCATTGAATATGGGGCTTTTCAGAATTCATCAGCTTGTACTGCCTATTTAGACAGTGGGGAAAAAAACCCTAATCCTTTATGTAGAACAAACTAACTCCTTCTCTCTTTCTTCTTTCCTCTCCTTCCCCTCCCTTTCCCTCTTCTTTTCCTTTCTCACCCCTCCTCCCCCTGCCTGTCTATCTCTGTCTGACTGTCTCTCATTAACTCAAACTAATGTTTATGAAGCCTCTGCTGTGTGTCAGGCTTTCTGCTGGGTTGTGCAGTGTGCACAAAATCAGCAGTAATTCTTCTCCTGGAGTCTGCACTTGCAATCCAGGCTGGCAAAGGAACACACAGTATTGGTAAGTTGCAGATCAGCACCAGGGCAGGTAGTAGGCTCTCAATGTATTTGCTGATCAGCAAACAAAGAAGAACACCATGCTGTGAGAACACAGGTTATATTGTCTCTGACCAAAGAGCATGCCATTTTGCCATGGGCCAGAGCTGCATAAACTGTACATACACTAGACATTTTTAACTAGGATTTTTTTTTGACTCTCTGCTTTGTATTTGTATTTAGCTTTTTTTTTTTAATATGTCTGACTAGTTCTGTACGATTGAATCTCGGAAGGGACATTGAAACCTTTCTGGTAGACAGGAAGAGAAGGCTTCAGTGTTTGATGTTTCTGAGTATTTGGATATGAACCATAGGAAGATTATATTCTCTGAAGTAACATTGGAAAGACCACATATAGAAGTGTTAGTCAGCTGCTGGATCTCTGATCCCTTTTGGGGACTGTAAGAACTGAGAGATGAAATTTGCTCTTCTGTGTATTTGGGGATGCTGAGGTTGTAACCCAGAGCCTGTGTATGCTGGGCAGGCATGATGGAACATTGCACTGCACCACATTCTAGTGACCACTCTTCCCCAGCCGCAGCCTTATCCAAAGTCCTTTTAACTAAGAAGCAACAGATGCTTTTTGCAAGGGGCTTGGAAGGAATGAGGAACAGCCACAGTTTTCTACCAGGACTTGGGGCAAGCCAAGTCACTGAGATGCAGTTCCCCAGCTTTAAAAACATGCCATAGTAGCAGTGCTAATGTCATTGCTATTGAGAATGAGCAAGCAAGATAATGGAAGGAAAGAAGTTTGTGAAATGTAGGCTGCTCTTGCTAACTACAGGTGCCATACCTCAGGCTGGCTGCAACATTTGTGTTGTGTGTACATGTGTATTTGGTGGAGAATCTCTTGAGCCTGTGATAAGTCAGTGACTCCTTTAAGCAGTAGGTACTTATGGACACTTGGGTTAACTCAACAGGAGCGTCAAGTCTCTTGCTTTCCCTGGTCCTCTCTCTGCCCAGCGCTATGGCTCTCTGCTGATTTGCCCTTATTGGAGACCTACTTGTAACCTACTGACCTTACTAGTCCAGCAAATTAAGAGAGGCCCTTTTTTTTTTGGGTCCGGTTGTGGGGCCTGAACTCTGGGCCTGGGTGCCTCAGCTCTTCAGCTCAAGGCTAGCGCTCTACCACTTGAGCCACAGCGCCACTTCTGGCTTTTTTCTTTTTGCTTATGTGGTGCTGAGGAATTGAACCCAGGGCCTCATGCATGCAAGGCAAGCGCTCTACCACTGAGCCACCTTCCCAGCCCTCTCAATTTTTTTATCAAACCTAAAGTATCTGAAAATACCAACTTGTTTACATTTTTAGGTGACTTCTGCTATAGAACCTTACAACAGATTGTTCAAATGACAAAACTTGGTGTAGCACAAAACGCTCAAGTGTTTGAAATCTCCAAAGGTGCTGAAGAACTCAAACTGGGTCAGGGAGGAGGAAAAAAGTGTTAGCCTTTCTTCTTTCACTGCATGGGCTGCCTAAGTTGCTGTGTTTTTGAGGCGGGAAAAGGCATTCTTGTTTGGGCTGGCCACAGGGCTTTGTTTAGAAAAAGTGGTGAGATGAGAATGCTCAGAGGAGCAAAGGGCTGTGAGCATATCAGAGAAGTTGCAAGCACCTAGAGGGGCCTCTTCAACAAATTTTCCTCTTTTGTCAAATGTTCCTCTGGGTGATGGAGACACAGCAGAGAACCAAGTGATCTTCTGCAGTTGAGGGGACTCCAGGCTGTGAGCAAGGCACACCTCATAATACCAGCAGTGTGGGAGGGAAGGGGTAGGGGAGAGCAGAATGGGGAGCTAGTAGCTTTCCTGAGGCTGTGGCATAAATGACACAGGAGGTTCTATTAGTATTTCTATGGCTATAGAAACCCATTTGAGAGAGAGAAAGAGAGAGAGAGAGTGTGTGTGTGTGTGTGTGTGTGTGTGTATTTTTTTTTGCTGGTCCTGGGGCTTGAACTCAGGGCCTGGGCACTAACTCTTGAGTTTCTTTGTGTTCAAGGCTAGCTCTCTACCACTTGAGCCACAGCACTCCTTCTGGCTTTTCAGAGTAGTTTATTGGAGAGATAATAGTCTCATGGACTTCTGCCCAGGCTGGCATTGAACCGCAATCCTCAGATCTCAAGCCTCCTGAATGTCTAGGATTACAGGTATGAGCCACTGGTGCCTGGCTCCACTTGAGTATTTTTTGAGTTATGAAACTGAGTTCTGCCAGTGGCTGAATTGGCCTTCTTTCTGCTGTCATCCCATCAATGGCTGGGTTGCTAGGGGAGATTGGCATCATTAGACACCTTTGGTGTCATCAGAGCCAGATGACAGTGGCTCTTGATGGGTGTTCCTTGGAAGA